CCTGCCGCCGCCACCAGCTCAGCAGCAACAGGCAGGCAGTGGCCCTCAGGGTGCTCATGGCTGTGGCAGGCAGAGGCCCCGGCAGCTCATGCCTCTGGTTGAGTCCTACGGCCTGCATGTACTGGTGCAGTCAGCCCAGCCTACTGGCACACCTTCAAACCAGACCAGGCTGGCTCTGTGCAATCATGTGGGGCTTGTGGCCCTGCAGGCAGGAGCCATGTGCCATCAGGCTGGGTAGACTCCGTGCCTCCGTGTGTGGCTTCCTGCTTAAGTGCTGAAAGGCCCATGAGGAGGCACAGACCAGGAGGAGGCACAGAGTCGGCCAGCCCAGCCCGATGGCATGTGTACCGCATGCGCCATTGGACTGGGCAGGCTCTGTGCCTCCACATGGGGCTTCCAGCACTCTAACAGGAAGCCGCACGTGCAAGTAAGCAGGAGCCTGCCTAGCCCGATGGCACATAGCTCCATGCCTACATGTGTAGCTTCCCACCCAGTCTGATGTTGCCTGGCTCCCAGTCCGTGCACCATAGGGCTGGGCCAGCCTTCCACATGGGACTTCCAGCACTCCAACAGGAAGCCGCACATGGACCCACAGAGTCACATGCCACCAGACTGGGCAGGCTCTGTGCCTCCACATGTAGCTTCCTGCTGGAGTGCTGGAAGCCCCACGTGGAGGCACAGAGCCAGCTGGCCTGGCCTAATGGTGCATGGCCCACACCCACCCACAAACCCCACCCCTCCTGTAGGCAGGAGCTCCCCTCCCCACTTACCCAGGATCCAGTTGTACAGCTCTGTGCCTCCATCATGGAGGTGGAGGCACAGAGACTCCCATGGTTAAATTATGCAAGATTATGCAATTATGCACGGTCATGCCTTTTATGGGCAAAATTACATGGGTGCATGATTGCATAATTCCCTAGGGTGTAATTACTAAGAGGAAAAGAAACAAAAGCAGGCCATTGAACCCTTGCGTCATGAATGGATTTATACTATTCAGTACTTAAGAGTAGGTTTTAAAGGCAATTCCCTGTTAGGGTCAGTGGCAGGAATTTCTTCAAATATAATCATTTTAAATAGCTCCATCTTTGTTAGGAAGGACAAGCAAAGAGTGATTAGTGCTAAATGCAGACAAGAAGTTGTGATGAACACAATTCCCAAAACTCAGTGTATAGGAGAGCAGTATTTTTTGAGTGACACACCAAGTGTATGCTGTCCCATCAGGGTATTGGTGTGGTGGTTGCAGGGTACAGATGCAACAGTTAGCAGTAGTAGACAGAAGAATGTAGATTTAGATTTGTACACAAAGCTGTATTTTACTGAACTCTGGGAACATAGCTATGAGTTTTGCTTCCATTCCTTTTTTTTTTTTTTACTGTTAATTTATTTTTGCTCAAGGCAGCGACGCTAACTACCATGTACACGTTATAAATAAAAAGAGATTAAGAAAAAATATCCTGAGTCTGTGAACTCACTTGTCTCCCAAAGTCCAAAGCTTCTTCACTGTTTGAAGCCTGGGACACAACTATTTAATTACCAAGTGACAGAACAGCTCTTTTGTTTAACATTAGAACCACACTAGAACAGGTTTTAGTTAGATCAGATATTGGATAATATGTTTGAGTCTGACTTTCTGCTCTAGTGCTATTGCAGAAACATTTTAGGTTCCCTTGACACTTACTCCTGGAGTGTAAGTGTTTTTATTCTTGCTATTTCTATAAGGAAATGACATCTGAGGAGAACTGCATGCTAAATATAATCATGGGAGTATGTGGTTTATGGCATAATTGGGTTATCTCCACTTTGATCGTTGTTTTTTGGCCCTGTCATTAAATGCAAGGCAAGGACTAAAGAGGATTCCTGTTCACAATGGGTATTGCTTGCTCTTGGTTCATCTGTTGTTGTTTTTTTCTCTCAAGCATATCAGCTTGATTTATGAAGCTGACTGTAAATAAATTCTGTATGTGATATTATTTCAGCTTAAGATGCATCAATTATGCAAATGAGAGAATAAAATACTCTTAAGGCCGTGGCTAAAAGGGGACAACAGTTTTCTTGGCTTGAGTTGAATTAGTTATAAATATTTTATAGCTGACTTTCTGCTACCCAGGTATACCCATAGATTAGCTTGCCCCCATTCATAAACCTACAAACTGCTCCAGCAAGCATTTAGCGTGCACTGAGCTTAAAGTTTTAAAACTTAACTTAAATATAGACAGGACTGAGAGTGGGACTATGTCATTCTGAGGCTAGATTAAAATTTCTGTGATAAGTAGAATTGGGGATGTGACAGTGACAACTCTTTATAAATAGCAGGGAAATGTTGTCAGTGGAGAAAAAGGGCACTGCCTTTCATGGTGTGTACCCTTCTAAATGGAAAGAAAAGGAGGATCCACCTTGGGTGGTATAAACCAGCAGAGCTCCCTTGAGTTTCTGCCCATGTATAAGATAGCTCTGGTGTGATCTGCTAAATTCAGACAGGAGGTGAGGAGGAAGCTGGTGTTGCTACTGTGGTGTGAACAGTGAGGTGGATGTGCAGTAAAACCTGATCCATGACAAGAGGCCCAGATTGACCGTTTTGATGACAGACATATGGGTAACAGGGAGTTGGCAATAGTGCTTCTTTCTGATGTCAGCAGCAGCTTTGTCTTTGACACTGCAATTTACATCACCTGGACATCTAATGGTGCATGATCTAGAAAAGAGGTTTGTGCACACAGTGGGGAACTTGTTGCCTCTATTCCCTATAGCCTCTATACAAATACTCGTTGATCAGGAATCAAGGACTTTGGGTTAACAGTAGCACAGTTCCATGTTTCCCAGCACCTGCTGTAGTGACAAATGATTTTATTTAAAGAACAAAAATCAAAGCAAGCAATAGTGAAAACTACTAGAAAATTATTTGAGGAATGTATTTTGACAAGTTTGCACTGGCTTTATGTGCAATTCATTCATATTTGAAAAGAAGCATGGAAAAATTAATGTAGCCTGGGACAGACTAAGACAGAATTCAGCCCACATATTTAAAACCTCTCTACTCTGTCCCTACCTGTAAGGAGTGCAGCTAAGCATGATCCTGTAATTTAGTGATCCCAGGCTCATAATGATATTCTGATCTGGGGACTTGTCACCAGGGGTAGACAATTCCCCAGCCCCTGTTTCAAGGAATCCAGCAAGAGGCCTGGAGGTAGACCCAGTGCATCAATAACAAAAGTCATGGCAGTAAATTTGACCCCATATAGAGGGCCAAGTTATCCCTTTGAGTTAGTGGCATCCATGAGATAGTGGGGCCATGCCTTCCTTTTCCTGTCCCGGTTCTAGAATTACCAATGAAAAGGAGGTGAAATAATACTAGTGCCAATAAGGGTGGCAAGGGAATCTGTTCTCTTGCTAGTAGCCGTGACGTGAATGCTGAAGTAGTGACACCCTGAGTCTCAAACAGGAGGCCAGTTTATCATGAGAGTGTGCAGCACTTGCTGAACTTGTGTGGAGAAGTTGTCCCTTCCCCCGTGACCCCATAGAAGCCTTCCCAGCCAGCCTGTACTGGGTCTTAGAACAGGAAGATGGGAATCCACCAGTAGTAGTTTCCCTACATGAAAGGTGCTGTCTACTTCCCTGTGACAGCTATTCCCTCCTAATGCAGATGTTAGCACTGGACACCTGGGGAACCTGTGCTGTAAATCGGGAAGCAAGGCAGGTATCTTAAAAGAGTGAGTCTCAAATATCTGGTAAGGAATTGTTTAAAATCCTGATTGAGTCAGAATTCATAGGAGTTAAAGCACTTGTTAGGCTGAAGTGTAATCAAGAGAACTGGTTTCAAATAGTATTTATGTAAAACTCGGAAACAAGACCTAAGAAATGCAGAGAAAACTGAAAGCAGTTGATAAGTTGAGATGGTTTAACAAGAGAAAAAGTAAAGAGTTTGTATCAAATAGAATATTATAGAGTGGTGAGCAAGCTAAACTGAATTTTAAAAAATGGACCAAGGCTACAACAAATATTTTAAAGCCAACCTTAATATTTTGGATTTAAAGAAGAACTTCTATGTACTGTTTCATTTACAGTGTGAGCCAAGGAAGGAAGTGGAAGTATCCTGGGGTGCTTTTGTTGTCACTGAGTGCAGACAGAATTGACAGTTTTCACCTGATCTGGCAACAGAAAGCACTTTATAGCTGTGACCAAACACAAGTACATGGCTGCAGACTGCTTCAAAAATGGCCATTCGGGTGAAAATCCTCAGGCTCAAATGAAGACTTTTAAATAGTGTCTTCTGTAACTTGTGTCTGTGCTGCCTTCCAGCCTGTTGTTGTTTCCAGAATGGGAGGGGGGAAAGGGAGCAGAGGGAGCTCAGTCAAGATTTTTTTCAGCACCTGCTAAGGGGTGAGGTGGGTGAATTGGAGCCCCCCCCCCACACACTTTGGGGGGGAGGGGCACTTCAGTTCACCTACCCCATTCCAGAGTGAGAGGGCTCCAGTTCACTCACCTCACCGTCCAGCACTAGCTGGGCTCCCTCTGCTCCCTTCTCCCGCCCTCCCCCCCGCATTCTGAAAACTTTGCAGGCTGGCAGGGAGGAGGGGTTGTTGCTATGAGAAACCAGCTGCAGGCTGCAGCCAGCAGGTAGATTCTCTTCCCCCCTGGAACCAGCAGTGAACTTCTGTTTGGTCCAGGGGATGGTTGTAACCCAGAACACTTCCTGTGAAGCATGCCCAGTTACACCACAGAGCTGCACTTCTGTCTGCACCCTGAATTACTAGAGATTTGAGACCTTTTCATTCGAGCAAGGCTTAGTTAAACATCCAGACTTGATTTGTAGTGACCTTTGTCCATCACTGTTATTAAAATGAGTGACAAAAGTATTAACTAATAAATATGCATTTTCTGGGACAGTGGAGAATATATCAGTAATCACATGAATATCTGTTGATGGACTACATTTCTTCAAGAATGAATTTTGTATTTTCTCACCGAAACATTGTTTAATTATGTGTTGTCCCCCCTCCAAGAATTCTAGGAAACCGAGTGGCAGAGCTGGAGAAGAAATTAAGGACATTGGAAATTTCTGGTTTGTGGAGTCTTCCAGGTTAGTAAAAAATCAGGAAAGCAACTTCTTCAACTTAAAAGAAATTCCTTGAGTATGAATTCTATGAGAAACTTGCAAAAATGTGTTTGTTTTTAAATGTGACCATTAGTTTTGAAAAGTATTCAACACATTTGGAAAATCAAGCCCTTTGAATGCAAGTCTTTTGGGCACCCAAAATGCTTAGTCATTCCTAAAAATGTTTACTTCATATATCATTCTAATTTATAGCTATTGTATATAATAGAAAAAAATCATTTTCAACACATGAAACAGACAAATTATTGCCATAGTTTGATGCTGAAAAGTATTAAACTGATTTAAGCTTCTTGTATAAACTGATTATAGCTATGATTTTCTGCAAGGCTTATTTATTGTGTACTTGTTTTGAGTAACTAAAGTAACCTTGTATTACTTGCAACATTTATTGATAATTTCTATAGAATTTTTTAAACTGAGAAACTGAAAATGTAAAGGATCTTAGGATTTTTGTGGGTGATATCTTCCAACCGTGTAGTTGGTCCAGTATAAGATATCACCCAGAAAAATCCTTGCCTCTTGCATATCTCCTGGACCATCCTGGCCACAGCAGTACCCTTAACACTACCACAGGGATCTTAAATGATCTAGTCCATATCTGCCAGAACAGAACATTTTCTTAATATTTTTTTTGGCTTTAAATTACTCAAGTAGAGGGAGATTTAAGCTACTGCTTACTAGGCTGGCTTGTTTGGAAAATGTTCAGTATTCAGCTTTTGTTTATTTTCCTCCCATTACATCTAGTTGTGTCTTGTTTTAACCATTGTGAATGATTCCACTTCCTCCCTAGTGTTTGCACCATTCTGCTGCTTTTGCCTAGTTTCCCACATTTGCTACCATGTGCAGGAACTAATATAAACAAGGCTACAGGTGTTTTAACACTGTCAGTTAGGTCAAAACTTTTCACAAAATTTAAATAGTCAGCAATTTATCTGGAGTCCTGGTAACAAACCTAGTCAGGTCAACTCCAAGTTCTGGTTTTCCCATATCTTCTTGATGGGAGATGCCAATGTAATATTTATACTGGAACTCTGTATTACAGGTTAATATGCTAATAGAAATATCATGTAAACTTTAACCTGTTCAAATTCAACCTGTTGGTGCTTTTTACATTCTTTCAAAAATAGGGTTCATTGAAATTTGTAGCTTAATAAATGCAGTGTTTTAACTTTTGTGAAAGTATAAAGAGTAAAATAGAACAGTTGGGACACTGAGAATGTCTTGCTTCATTGTTGGTCTATTTAGGTAAGATCTCAAATTAATATTTATACAATAACAACTGTCTCTTTCCTTCCTTTCTTTTGCTGCCTGAAGGCCTGAGCTACAATGTCTCAGTGGGATTTGGGAGTAGGTTCTGCTTGACGTGTATATTTTTAGTAACTAATTTTAGCAGTACGTTAAATATTGTCACTGCATGTAAATAAATGGAAATGTTATCTGAACATTTTTATATCTGTCAGATTAAGATGTTCAACTGAGTGAGTTAGATGGCCACAAGGGAAACAGAGTGCTGTGCAAGGCAGTTCTTTTAAATTGAGGAAAATGGTAATGAAGGATGATACTAAATAGTTGTAACTGAATTTTACACTGGATTGGTAGTTCTGATGAACGGTGGGGTTTACTTCTGGATTTAACCAGACCAGTAAATCAGGACGGTGTTTTTGTTTGGGATCTACCATAAATTTTCAATGGGGGTATTCTTGTCAGAGGGTTGTAGACTGGTTTCTGCTCTGTCAAACAGCACGCAATTTTCATCTGTGGTTGGGACTATCATAATGGACCCTGAGGCTGAATGTGGGTTTAGGTGAGTAAGTGGTGAAGGCCTTAGAGCACCTAATCTCATTTATGCTAGAGTTCAAACAAAATATAATCACTTAATTTGCAGCGAGTTGATTTTGTTTTTTTTGTCAGTGTAAAGACTTGCTGAGGAAAACTGATTTTTCAATCATGCTTAGGGAAGGCTACATCTACATTGCCTCCTCGCTGAGCCTGCTCTCCAGAAAAGGCCCCTCCACTTCACCCACACATAAGTGCAGCAAATGGTTCTGGACTTGGTAGGGAGGCCCATAGACCTGGTTAGAGCTGCCCATCAGTCTAGATCAGGTTCAGGTGGTGACCGCTAGGAACATTATCAATAGAACATATTTTTTCACCACTCCCCATCACTGTGCTACTGGAACATCTTCCAAGTATTTAAAAATAGAAGTACCATATTTTCTTGCTTATAATCTGCACCTTTCCACCCAAAGCCAGCTGGGGAAAATTGGGGAGGCATTAAATATGAGAAAAAGGGATCCCCTCAGGTCCAGAAGTTTAGTGTAGGGGTGGGAGGGCAGGGCAGAGTGACGGCAGTGATAATTGCTGCAGCTCTGGGAGTCATGACAGTTAACACTGCCACTGCTTCCTTCTCTGTCCCCCAGCCACTAAATTTCTAGACCTATGAGGAGGGATCTACTAAATTCATGGTAGAAGTGGGTTGCACAGCAGCTCCTTTAATCTTGCAGGTTCCCCTGTGCAGGGCCCCTCCTCCCCATTGCTGATTGGCTGAGGGACCCTGGTGGCCCTGCTGCTTGTTGCTGACTGGCTGGGAGGCAAAAACAGGTCCATATTTAAAACGACTGTTTTTGCGTCCCTGCTGATTAAGGAGCAGGGCCCCTCTAGCAATCAGCGAGGGAGAAGGGGGTGTTTTGCACAGGGGACTGCAAGAATAAAGAAGCTGGTGTGCAGCCCACTTCCTCCATGAATTCAGTAGGTCTCTACCTATGGGGGATCTTCTATCCCATCCATGCACCACATCAGGCCAGTGAATAGGGTTGGTCCATGGCCAGAGCCAGTGTGCTGAGTCTGACCTAACACATAACCCTGGACCTGATGTGCCAGGTCCAACCCTGTGTGCTGGCTCCAGAGCCATGTGTCAGGTTAGACTTGGTATACCAAGTCTAGGACCACTAGTGTGCTGGCTGTACAGTCAAGTGTTGGGTCGGACCCAAAATATGTCTCCAGAGCCAGCGTGCAGCCTTGGACTTGGTGGGCAGCCTTGGAGCCAGGATATGGGATCACACCTGGCACATGGGTGGTCTCAGACTCAACATGCTCTCAGGCTGCACAGCCTCAGACCTTCCATGCAGCCCTAGACCTGCTGTGCTAGATTGGGCTCACCATGCAGCCCCAGACCAGGTCCCTGGTCCCCATCTGATGCGTGGAGTTGACAACAGGCTCCCTAGCTGTGGCTACTCAGATATTTACCCAAGGCAAGATCTTTTTTTCTTCATGATACCTTTTAAAAATAGGGTATATTTTTAAAAATATTTTAAAAATAAAGTGAATATCACACGCTATAAAAGTAGGGTGTTATATTCAGAGTGAGTTATATGCAAGAAAATATGGTAATATTTGCTTCCTTCTTAAGTCATCCTATAGTTGAACTAGCTTGACAAATTGTAGATGTTTTGATTGCTACCTTGTATGTAACGAATGAAAGAAATGTGGGTAACAAACAGCAAGAGTTTTGTGCTTTTTTAGAATTGGCTCAGGCCCTGGGAAAGTTTTGCCCTCTGCAATTATAGGTCTCCCTTTGTGGCTGATGTACTAGTGGAAGTTGACTGGTCATGAGGACATGGTTTTACATGGAGAGGTCTTGGGCACTAATTTTTTTGGATCCCATTAATATGAGCTCATCTTCACTTAGGATGAAACAAAGAATATACTGTTTCAGTATCCTGGGAGCCTTTTATTTGCTGCCTAGGTATTGGAGTGATTGGTTCACTAGACAAATATGCATAGAAAGTGTCAGTCTAGCTCTCTTAGACATTAGTGTAATTGGATACTTCGTTGCAGCTTTATTTACTGTGCTCTGAAATACTAATTCCTACTGCAAAAGAATTGAGCAAAAAAGAAAATAATTTTGAACAACATTTCTTCTTGTGACCACAAGAAATGCTGCAGATGCTTTTGTTTCTAAACAGTCATTAACTTAGGCCAGTTGAGAAGCAACATTGATATTCTCTGCAGGTGTTAGGTACACCGGTGGTGGCCATTATGGGAGCCTTTCTAGAAGAGCTATTTAAATGCAGGCAAAAATTTGAGAGGGATCAACCAGGTTACACTTGGGAAAACAATATTCCTCTGGTGAAAGGAACAAATTAGCTTATTGTTCTACCTTGTAGCTTCTCATTCACTTGCCCATACATTTTTAACTGAACTCCCCACCCCCCCCCCCCCCCCCCCCCAAGAGGTTCACTAATGGACTGTGCACATTCCAGGAACTGTGCTGAGCAGTGTAGCTTCCAGAGGTAACCTGGTTCAGTCAACTAATTCAGGTTTCATTAGTATACCCCAATCATGCTGTGCTTTTGCAACACTCTAGCCTCCTACTTAACAAGGACATGAATCACTGTTTCATTTTATATAAATAATACCACTTGGGCCAGTGAAACAATACTGCTTTAATGGTAGATGGCAATCTAACCAGTACATGTGTAACCAGTCAGTTTCAAAATAAAATGTTGTGGAAGTGTGTGTGTAATTGCTGGTGCAAGTCAGCACTTTTTGTCATTTAATATTTGAATTGGAAGCCACAAGAGTTGCAGGCCTACATTTACTTTCTTGCTTCTGAGATGATTTTGCGAGGTATTTAGCACAAATAGCTCCTCTGGCAGCTACTTTCTTCAGGCTGAAAATTACCCTTTCCATTCTTTAATCTCACTGGTGATTTAATCACTTCTCCCCTGTCACATAGATCTTCCATGTGTACTGTTCCTCTTCCTACCAGCACTGCCCCTTTGACATTGACCTTGTGCCCATCTCTTTGCATAGTCTTGCTACTGTCATGGGAAACTAAGTGACTTTTTTCCCACTTCAGCTTTTGGCATTTGGAGAAGCCCTCAAATTTTTAGCTAAAAATGTCTCCTTTTGGCTTTACATTATAGTTTCTCTCTCACTCGGCTATTTGTTAATTAACTGCTTAATTGTATTATGTGCTATAGAAGAAGCAGAGTGCAGATGCAAATTCAGTTGAAGCTTGTTGTCTAATATCCTGACAGCGTCAAAGTGTCTCAAGAATTATTTATTTGTATTACTGTAAACATGTACCTCAGCAATGTCAGAGCCTCATTGTATCAGGCAGTAGAAAAACAGGGAAAAGTCCTGTCCCCAGACACATACAGCCAAGATCGGTAAACATGACTAGAAATGTTAGGGTTCTATCTCAAGACACTTTAAAGCAGGGGCGGGCAAAATATGGCCCAGAGACTGGATCCAACCCACCGGGCACTTTCATCCAGCTCGCGGCACCGAACAACTAATTGTACCCCACCCACCTCTTCTGCCAGCAAGGGTGGGAGTGAGGCGCCCATGTAAACACCCCCCTGCCAACATACCCAATTGTGCCTCACTCCCACCCTTGTGAGTGGAAGACCCTAGCCCAGCCAGCACGCTGCTTCTGGACAGAGCTGCTGCTGCAGCTGCTGAGGGACCTGCTCAGCTTCCCTGGCGTCCCACTCACTCCATGCACCAAGTAGGGAAGTAGTTGGGGGTGAGGGGGAAACTGCATCTGGGTGGGAGCATGGGGCTGCGGCTGGTGGCAATAGGGAGCCTGCGCCTAGGGGGACGGTGGCAACGCAGAGCTTGGGTGAGCAGGCTGTGGGTGTGAGGGAGGGTGGGGGGGGAATGTGGGGACCCCCTCCACACACAGCCCATGGCGCACAGCTCTGGCAGGCAGCAGCGGTAGCAACAGCAGGCAGAGGCGCTAGGAGCACTCATGCCTGGCAGAGTGCGGCTCCAGCCAGCACTGCACACCACAGCGAGAGGTGCAGCCCAGCCAGTCCACCTCTATCACTGGCACTACCCGCTGCGCATCTGCATCCCCCACACTCGTGCAGCACCGGAGGGAAGCTCCTTGCAGTGGTGTATGTGGCATTTGTAGGGTATGGGCGGGGGGTGTAGGGACCCCCTCCATAATTCTGCCATGGTGCAGCAGCAGCGGGGCGGCACTCAGGGAGCTCATGCTTGGCGCGAGCACAAGCTCCATGAGCGCCCCCACCTGCTGTTGCTGCGCCATGGGGGAAGTGTGGAGGGGGTCCCTACCCCCCAACCTCCCTCATGTCCCACAAATGCCACACACCCATACCCTGCCCTCACAACCTCCCCCACATAGACACCCCCCCAACATACCCTATGCCCCCACATGCACAGCCACACCCCCTCAACCGTAGCACCACCCCCAACCACACCCTCCACACAATATACAAGATTAAGAATTTATTTTATTTTTATTTTTAAGTTATGCAGTCAGCTCTATATTCAGTAGACAAACACAAATCATGACAAAATATTTTTTGTATTAAAATTAAAATATGTTCTAGTAAGTGTTTGACTTCTAGTGTATGATTTGTTGTTTTTCTGGTTCTAAGATGTAACCCCCCCTCCCAAAAGGAGCAGTTCCAGAGGGAAAGGGGGAGGGACTTCTGGTGGCAAAGGTCAGGGGGTTGGGGGCAGGACTTCCAGTCCCAAGATGATGACCAGGCAGTGGAACAACTGTCAAGGAGCAGGGCTACCCTTGTGGTCCTCAGAAGCTCACCAAACCTCATTAAGCAGCCCTCCACCCCAAATAATTGCTCGCCCATGCTTTAAAGGATGAGAGCTTTGGAGGGGAGGCTGTTTTCAGGCTGAGCCAAAAATTGAGGACACCAAAATCACTAGTCCCTCCAGGAAACCCCTAGCCTTGGTTTAAGACTCCCAAGGTTTAAGATCTTGGTTTAAGACAGGTTGCAGGCTATGTCAAAGCTAATTTGAACGTACAGAGTAATGGCGTACTAACTTGTGGTCTTATGTGTTTAATAGAGGTGAGTAGAACAGTAATTGTTTTGCAAACCACCTTACCAGATGTTATTTGTCAGCTGGTATTGTCCTTCAGAATGCCACAGTCATTTGAGCTTGCAAATGTGTGCTATTTCCAGTTTGTCTAGTGTCTTTCCTGATGACCTCTGAGTGCCTTGCATGGTAGAAGGCATGTGGGGTAAGCTGTTGTAGTTTACTTTCACATTGCCATGGAATCTAAACCCCTGCTAGCTAGTCATATACAACAGAGTGCCTGGCCTGAAGAGTTTAGTTCACAAGATTTCATCCACCAAGGAATGGGGCAATTTACTGCTTTCCAGCTGGATTTGAACTAAAATGCACAGAAATGAATTTGGCTCAGTGGATTAAAAACCTTCTAGTCCCCTTTCCCTGCAGTATCAATGTTTGTGTTTGCTGCCCTGATTCTGAGCCATCTCTTAAACTACCTTTTTTTGAAAGAACTTTGGGATAAAATTTTCATAAAGAATAATGCACAAAATTGCATTTGTAATAAGGGAGGTTTTGGCAATGAAAGCGGGATGTAGAGGGTACACGGTCAGTGCTGAATACTTGTTGGTAATGGTGTGCTACTCAAGTCTAAATGCAAATGATCTCTGTATTAGCATAAAGCTTTAATCTAAAAATACTTTTTGCATCACATAGATATGATCTGATTACAGCTGAATGCAAAATCTGGTAGCCTTTCAACAAATTAGAGAACTGTCCTCTACCCAGCAGTGTTGATAGAAATCTGCCCTTTTTTATATTTGACTTGTGCACTTCAGTTGCAGTTTATTGCCTCTCTAACTTCCTGTACTGAACTTTCTGTACTGACAGGTATCACTGTACTTTTTAATGGAAAAAATAGTTAAATTTTAAGATGTGCTTAAACAACACCAAAGTCATTGGTGAACATACAGTTTAATTGGTGATTTAATGTTTCCAGTGCTTTCTTCTTTTTAGGTGGAAAGGATACTATCACATTCAGTGATCCAACCCTGCCTGTTATACAGCGGTCAAGATCACCATTAACGTTCACTGGCAAGCCACCACAGAATGAAGCACAGAGGCATGAAGGTGAGCATCTGGGGTATAGAGGAACATTGTGCTCATAGACTGTTCCCCTTTCATCTTATACTTGGCAGTCATAAAATAAAAATGACTGCCAAGTTTTCATGACTGTATAGCAGAAGGTAAAGATTCAATAAGCCTAAAGGAGTGAATGAACCAACCACAGGTAAAAGGAGGTGGATCATCCCAGTAAAAATGCCAGTATAGGTACTGAAAAATGACTGTCTAATAGATGCACAGTGCTAGAGAAATAGTAAAGCAATGTCACCGATGCTACAAAATGAGATGTGTGTTACTAGCTTCCTTCTATTCTTCCTCTTATATGACAATGAACTGCAGGTAAGCAGACTATGGAACTGGCTTAGAACTCTCCTGCATTATACCTGATCTCTGGATGAAAGGCTTCCTGACTGTAAATGGAAATAAACTCCTCTCACTGATTCTTCTTTTATAGATCTATATGGATGTTGATGAAGCTTTTGATTGAAAAGGCTTTTAACATTTTTTTCATGAGTCTGTCCCAGCTCTATTTGATACCAAGCAGCACGCCAATATTTTAATTGACACACTAAATTTTCTTTAGTTTTATTTTTTTGTGCTGATGGGAAATGCCTTTTGATAGTTGCCTATCAACATTTGAATAAGCTATTTAATGGCCATGAGATCTTTGGTATGCCCAGATCTTATTCAGCCAATCATGAAGGTTCATAAATGCTTTATTGTGCTAATTCTTCAAACTAAATAGATCATGGTTTCATTTTGACTTTATTATCCATGTCATCATCTGATAAAGTTTGACAGCAAGATTGATCATTTTTATAATCTTGATCAGCTGATATTTTTTTGCTAAAATAACTGTATTTAAATATTCCTCTATTGAAAAGTAGTAACTTTATAAATATTCATTTTTGTTTTGAGCACTTAATCATTTTGTTCTAGTTAATTCTTTAAGTGCTGTATTCAGTATTTGGTTTGTAGCATGATATTGTCTTTACCTTCCCTATTTGACATAGCATGCAGTTGGTAGTATTATCTACTAGTAGGCTTGGCAAAATTTGATTTAAAAAAAAAATGTTTTGACATGATATCAATTTCTATTTTTAAGCATTCTGATTTTTTGTTGATTTTAAATTTTCAGTATTGCATGATATTAAGTGTGGGGGCATGCGTACAGACACACACACACAGACATGTGCACATAAACACACCCATTTCTTTCTCCATCCCAGCACGCTGCCCCTGTGCACAGCATCACTGAACTCAGCACCTGCTTTCCTTGTCCCACAGCAGTCGCTGCCCCCTGGCCCCCTCCCACTCTTCAGCAAGAAAACCTCTGGCTGCTGCAGCAGCATCTACCCCCTGCAACCAGCAACTCCCTCTGCCTGCTGGCTTCCACCCGAGTTTGCAAGGGAGGGCCCAGCTGGCTAGCACCCTGCAGACACGGAGCTGCGGAGGCAGGGGCAGGGACAGATACGCACAAACACACATTGCCCAGCTCACCTCCCACCTCCAACTTCTGCACAGCAGGAACCTGCCCTGGCACTGTGGTAGCAGCTTACTTTTACGTCCCCTTTCTATAAATTTTGATTATTACCAATGGAAATAGTTTTCCATTAGTCTGTGAGTGTGAGGTGAGCTTGCCATTTATCAGTGTTTACCAAACAAAATGAGATCCTGCCAAGCCTATCTGGTAGGGCCATGCAATACTTACTATCAGACTGCTTTCAGTTGCTTATAATTGTGTCAGACTTTAACAGTTTGAGCTGACATTCTCCACAGCTTTCTGCTTCAGGTTAATTTCCCCACCCCTGCATCTTTGGAAAATATTGGTTGATGTTTTCCCATGTTAAGATCTGGTGATCTTTTCCATGCTGTGGAGATGAAACTTGAAATGTGATAGGCAGCTAGCTAGCCCTTGGGTCAGGGTTTTATCCATCTGATCCTCCATGTGAAAAATGTCACCAAATCTGACTCAGTTATTCACACATGCTCAGTAGTGACTTCAGAGATTTTAGCTTTTAAATACCAAAAGTCCGTCTCTGCCTGGCATGCTCCCATCCCATCATGGCTTCTGGTGCTTCCCCTCCAACCCGCCACCTCCCCTCTTCCCCAAGTGGCAGTCTGCTCCAGAACAGGGCAAGGAAGGTTCGTTCCTGCAGTGCCTATTCCTATCTGCTCCAGGCTGGGATGGGTCCAAGTACTGAAACTGAGTGCATGGAGCCTGTTTCTCATGTGCTTCCAATGATCCCCTTTGGTGCCCAGAGGGCACAATCTGTTTTGGTCCAGGCTGATGAGACAAAACCTTCATCAGTAGAAGGAAAGGAACAGATTGGGACAGGGAAACGGAGGCTGGGATTGGGAATCGATGAGGGAAATGGGTGGGGCAATTGGCTGGGATGGAGTATCGCTTAGATCTGCCAAAGCATGTGATAGAGGAAGAGATGCTGAGTGGCAGAGTGATAAGAAACAGATTAATGAGGCACTCATGGAGAGAGAGTGGACTTGGGAGCCAGTGAAATAAATGGAGGGGGAGAGGGAGAATAATGAGGTGTGCTCTCAAGGTCCAGACTCTTCTCCCCCCCCTCCCCCAGGAACCCAGAATGAAACCCAAGTTCCTGTCTCACCATTCTTCTCCCAGGAAGTGTCTGGGTGTGTATGCTATCCCCTTCTTGGGCTGGTCCAACCTCCAACAGCTTGTCCTTGTTATCCTGTATAATACGGTAACAAACTGTTATTGCTATCAGTGAATCTGTTAATTCAGGTGGCAGAAGTCTGTGGGATGTAAACCTAATTTGGACCCTTTTGTGCTACATTCTGGCATTTATGGTCAACTAACTAAAAGCTGTTTTCTTCCACAGGTCCACTGCCTCATTCCCTGTGCAAGGTGAATGGGGCTCAGCTAATGAGTAGCTGTTCAGTATGTTTTTTCTTCTTGTTCAATTTGTGACTTCCCATCTTATTTCACTGTATTCAAACCCTGCTCTTAAAACACTGTTGATACTTTTCTCGTGGGCTGTGGTGCTTGTTGCTATAATGAGTGCTTCACAAAATCTCTGTGGTATGATAGGGAACTGAGACATAGATTAAGGTCAAGAATTTCCACTCGTTGTGCCCAATTGGAAATATGTGGGACCTGATCTTTCAAAGTGCTTTGTGTCATGTAATGCTTTTCTATACTGTTATGTATGTTCGTATGTTCAAAGTGCAGCACTTCTGTGTATTAGGCAAAAGGGTCTCAAATTTGGATGCTCAAAAAAGATGACAAAAAATTACGTGATGCACCTGGCAGCACACAGCAACTGTGTGGCAGAGATGAAAATAGGCCGTTCTCCGGGGTAGCAGCATTCCTGGCACTCTTAAACATGAACTTCCTGCAATCCGTTATCTCGCCAGTTGAGAATCTTCCAATGTATTACAGGTGATGCAAGGGGGAGAGAGCTGTCCTGTAGAAGGCAGGTTCCTTTGGTACATAGCCCTTGACTTATCCCCTGAGTAAGTCTGTTCTGTATGCCAAACAAGGCAAAATTATTGTGAGGAAAATAGTATATGCTTGTAGTTTATAGATTTTATTGTAATGTATGTGGCCAAGGAGTGTGACTTATGGGTTACATGGGCAACGTTAATTCAGGCATTTTTGAGCTTTTGGGTGCTTGACTGTTGCACCTGAATTTAATGACGTTTTCTTTTTTTTTTTTCTTCTGTGTACCAGATGAGAAGGTTAAGGGTTTTCTCTGGTACAGAGAAGTTCACCTCTGCATTCTGCCTCCTATGAAGAGCTTTTTCTGAGGTGTTGTTGTAACGGTACATTTAACATGCTTTTCCATTGCTGCCCTGCCTTATGCCGTTACCAGAAGTTGCACATTTTTTGAAGTTGTCCACAAAATCTATTGCAGACTAATTCCATAAGGTTATTCTTTATTGGAGAAAGGTTCATTTGAAGAGTATCATTTTCTAGTGCTATTACTTATCTCTAACCAGAAATTGTACAACTACGAGCTTTTCAGAGAGTATGATCTTTTCCCTAAATGTTGTCTGCCAGCCTTCATCAGCTCCAGCATCTCTTTACAGCAGTCACACTTCTCTAAAAGGAAGACAATCTGAATGAGCTTGGCTTGATAACTTTCTGGTTCTGTTTGGTTCTGATCTCTGAAGAATGGGACAGGGAGTCAGTGTAGATATGTACACAATGATATTTTATTCAAATCAATCTCTTACCATGGTGTTTGGCCACTCAGATTTCACAAACTTACTGACATCAGCATTGTCACTGGCCTTCTTTGTCAGCCCCATTCATACAAATTCAAGTGACTAATCATAGTGTATTGCTGTCCTGTTTCCTTTATAGCACAAGCAATGGGAGAACTAGATGATACTTGCACTGTTACAAATAAGCTGACAGCCCCAAAGGAATCTTCTGAGGTTTCTGAAGCCCATCTAAATAACAGTAACCAAAATAAGCATCTTCACCCCTCGCTACCCCAGTTACCTTCTGAGGAAGAAGATATAAACAGACTTGGAAGTGAAATAATAAAATTAACAGAAGAACAAGCAGCTACAGAACTCGGAGGGAGCAAAACAGGAAGTCCAGCAGAGGGCCAGAGTCCAAGGGGCCAACCAGAGCTCAGTGGTTCATCTGAGGGACAGTCCCCATTATCCAGCCCTGATTCATTTGACCCCACAGAAGCCTCCAGCTCAGAGACTGAGCAAGTCCTGAAAGACAATTATGAAATCTCAGAGAGTGTTTGTGAAAATCTGAATGAGAAAAAGCATGAAAATAGTGAGACACTGGATACTGAAGGACTTGGAGATCTAACTGCTACAGCTGCATGCACAAATAACATCTTGGACCATCCCCCTGTACCAGAGAGTGACAGACCATCAGATC